GGCTAACATGAATCGATACATGATATCATCCAAAAGAAAAGAAAGGAAATAAAGATAAAAAAGATAAGCTATTATAAAAAAGATAATATAAAATAGATGAATATACATATAAAAGATAAAATAAAAAGGATAAAGTAATGTTTATATATAAGGATAAAAATATAAAAGAAAAAGAAAAAGAAAAAGAAGAAGAAAAGAGGGGAAAAGATGATACAATATCACTCCTCCACACGAATACCCGCCCTCCATTTCGCTCTTTCCAAAGTCATACTCTCATCCAATCCAAGAAGAAGCATATCACTTCTGACTCCCCTAGCCCACGTCTGTTTGGGCCTTCCTCTCCCTCTCTTCTCTGCCTCTTCTCCACACATCTCCACTCGTCTGACAGGGGAATCAATCGGTCTCCTATGCACATGACCAAACCATCGTAGGCGCGACTCCTGCATCTTATCTTCAATAGGTGCTACTCCCACCCTTTGTCTAATTGTCTCATTCCTCACACGATCCTTTCTAGTATGCCCGCACATCCAACGCAGCATGCGCATCTCTGCCACACTCATCTTTTGAATGTGACATTGTTTCACCGTCCAACACTCCGTGCCATACAGTAGTGCAGGTCTAATTGCTGTCCTATAAAATTTACCCTTCAGTCTAGTCGGCATACCTCGATCACATAGAAATCCTGACGCACTCTTCCACTTCATCCACCCTGTTCTGATTCTATGGGATACATCTCCATCTAACTCACCGTCCTTCTGAATTATGGAGCCCAAGTAACGGAACATATCGCTGACCGGTATCTCCTTACCATCTAAAGTAATTCCGCTATTACCACTGCTTCTACCCCCACCAAACTTGCACTCCATGTATGAGATTAGAAAATAATTTACATCTATAAGATTAGAAAATAATTTAATCTCTAACTTGTCTATGAGATTAGAAAATAATTTAAGCCAACCATATTCTAGAACATTAATAAGGCCTAGAAATAGGATAATTTAATGAAAGGGATTTACATCTTGTCTATGAGAGATAAATTCAATTGCTTAAATAATGAGTTTAACTAGTTAATGAATTTGGCTATTTTTATTAATTAAAATATTGGAGAATTATTTCTACCTTGTCTATGAGGTTAGAATTTAATTCAAGCCAACCATTTTGAACACATTAATGACACCTAGAAATAGGATAAATTAATGAAAATAGTTTCTATTCTTGTCTATGAGGAAAGAAATTATTAGTCCAATTTTAGTTTTAATTTCCCTAATTACTAGGTCCAAGAATATATCCATTTCTAATTACTCAATTCATTGCCCTTATTTGCATCAATCCATTTAAGTTTAATATTATATTTTTTTCTTTAGTTTATTTTTGAGCCATCATTAGTATTTGCACAATTTAATTTACTTTCCTTTCCAAAAAGTAGTTTAGAAAATCAATCAAAAGTTTAATTTGGAAAGCTTCCAATAATTTGCGATAACCTGTGACTGGACTTAAAATCAAGAAGCTCCTCCGCCATTCCTCGAGAGACACGATACTCGGGGAAAAACCGAAAGGTTAGACTCCGTTTTACTACAACGCCGCGAAAGCGGTTATCACTTGCTTTGAGGAACCGGTTACCTACCCAGAATAACCTCGGTTACCTACATATTGTTAACCGGTGTGACCTTTGTAAGGGTGGATTGGAAACAATTCCACACCTATTCTTTCGATGTCATTACACTTGTAGGGTTTGGGACGCGATTAAAGGATGGTTGGGCATGACTCGAGAGATGACCACGATGCATAGCTCGGTCAAATGGATTCTAAAAGACCACAAAGGATCAAAAATCAAAGGGAAAGCTGTCCGGATTGCCTTCGGTGCCGCGGTTTACTACCTATGGCACGCTAGGAATGCCAACAGATTTGATGAGCAGGACGTCAAGGAAGAGGAGATCATTGCAAAAATCAAGCATGTGGTATATAAAATACTATTCAATATATATCCACATGACTTGATCACTTTTTGAGTAGAAGCCCGCGGTATGGATATTATGGATGCCGTGGTTTTGACCGATTGCTACATGATGGATTATATTGGCCGAGGCATGGATATTTTGGATGCCGCGGCTTAGACACTTGGACACCGTGGCATGGACATCTTGGATGCCGCGGCATGAAGCAGGGTCGTCGATTTTTTAGGTGTTTGTTTTTTACAACACCTATGTATTTTTGTTGGGTTTTTTTAGCCTCCGATCTGTGTGTGCGCTTAGGCAACACTGATGTTTATGCTCTTTTTTTATTTGGACAAGTTTCATACTTGTCCTTTTTTGATGTGGATTAGATCGAGAAAAAACCTCCTTTCACCCCCACTTTATGTGGGGGTGGGGGTTTTTAGGAGATCTAGGACACTTGATGTATAATTTTCTGGGTGTTAATATATATTTACATTTCATCCAAAAAAAAAAAGAATTGTAACTGTTAGCCATCGATCTGCAGTGCCCGATAAATATATACCACGTACTATACTACGTAGGATATATAGGGGCGTAGCTAGTGGGGGAGTTCCGTGTAAAGTTTTTTCAAAAATATTGTTTGTACGGGTCAGATGGTACCAATGGCGAAGCCAGACATTTAGGGTTAAAGGGACCGGTCCTTAACAATTTTACATTGTAGGGGCCAAAGTTTAAAATGTCAACATACTTTTTACAGATTAAAAGTATTTATATACAAAGTATAATATATACTTAAGATTTTTTTTCCTTACAGGGATCGTGGCCACCTCCGACCCCTTCTTGTCTCCCCCGGATGGTACATGATCATGCTTAGAGAACAACGTAACTTTTCTTAATTAGTCTTTTGAATTTGACCTTTAAATTTTAGTTGGTCCAAAAAAAAATCGTGGGTTGGTCATGGCTAAAAATTCTGTTTTGGGATATTAGGCTTTTTAATTTTGATGTCCACCGCAGGTCCGCAAATGTTTGGCTTTTATTTGAGCATATTCCTCTTTTTGGATCTGAGATAGAACTCTTTAGTCTTAGAGAAAGGATTGGCAACATATTTGCTCCCAAGTAGCACCATAACCAGTAATTATTCAGATTGATGGGTCATGGGTGGATGACGACGGTGCCTACGGTTGCCGGATCAGCGGGCCAGCGGCGCCCATGGCTAGGTGACACAATTCCTTTTCATTTTAGCCCCTTAATTTAGACCTTAATATAACGATTTAGAAGCCCATGATATCCGTTTTGAAATTTGAATTCAAAATAGTGAACACTAATCTACAAGCATGTTTGGCACAATTGAATGAAAAGATTTTTTGTTAGTTTTTTAATAGAAAAAATTACAAAAGTATTACTACTTTAAACCCCACGTACAAAAATATCACTTGTTTACCTAACTTACACACAAGATGCTGTACGTGTTCTATAGTGATTGTCACTTTTTTGTAACTGCCAACACTATTGATAATATTTGTATAGAAAACTCTTTTTAATAATTACATAGTACTTCCTCCATTCTTTTTTAGTTGCAACATTCCCTTTTTCATGTTTGTCAACGCACAACTTTGACCGTCGTTATATTTAATCTCGTATTAGCAAAAGTAAAATAAAAATCAGATTATAAAACTTAGTAGTGAGACGAATTTAACAATATTTTTTCAAAAAAATAATTCACATATATTAATAAATAAAATGTAGTCAAAGTAAAGTACATGAATAGTGTCTATATTCCAATGTTGCAACTAATACGATACGGAGGATAGTGTTAGTTTTTTGTGACACAAAATATCTTAAAAGAAATGATTTAACACTACAATTATAATCTGACTATTTGATTTAATTTTACTTGGTATAATAAATTCTTGTGATTAAATAATACGGAGTTTTAAAAGCTACAAAATTTTCTCAGATGAAACTTTTTTTAAATTTAAAAAAAATAGTACAAAATATGTACACCTTTACATATTTGTACGTAATTTTCTGTAAACACAAGTACGCACACCAGACAATATGTACATCACTTAGTTGCTCGTTTTTTAATCACTTAGTTACATGTGTATACAAGCAATTCATGCAACATTGTTTTTGTACACGGACAATTACGTAAAAATGTGCATAAAATGTGTACAAATTTGAAATTTCATGTAAAAATATACGGAGTACTACATTTGTCCCATAAAATAATACTCACTCCGATTTGGATCGGAGTTTAAGAATGTGAGAATAAAGTGACAATGTATAATTGTGATTGGGTTTTTTTTACTCCAGGGGTTGGGGGAGGGGGGCTGGGGAGGAGCCTGGAGTAATCAAGATTGAAACTTACTTCATTGAGTTCCAAACCCTTATGTGTATAGCTGGTTTCGAACTCGAAACCTCTCACTAAGCACGGTATGGTTTCGAACTCGTAGCCTCACAATGAGTTGGGTTGCAATGCTTGGTTAAAAATTAAAGGCTGCTAAATTTGCCTCAGGTTTGTGATTGGATAAAAAAGAAGAAACTAATACGGAGTAATACATAAAACTTTTCAAAAAGAATAGGACGGGAGGAACTATTTTTTGTGAGTCCAAGATCCTGTTTGGAGAACTCTGTTTTCGGCTTATAAGGCTTATCAGCCAGCTTTTTCACCAAACACGTAACTTTTACTTTCGCGCACTGAATTGTGTAATAAGCCGAAAAAGTAAGGTTGGAGTTACTTTTCTGGCTGTATTGGCTGAAGTTACTGTAGATGACCATTTTAGCTATTTTTACATATAATTTTTTCTTTAATTTATTAATAAAATATATTTTTAAAATATTTTTTTCTTAAATCAGCAGAATCAGCCAAAACAGCCACTTCAGCCAGAATATCATAAATTTCAGCAGAATCAGCCAAAACAGCCGATTTTGGTGCTACCAAACGGGCTCCAAATATAAAAGTTAGAACTCTATTATGGGATAGAGGTATATTTTCATTCTAAATAAAATACTGATTTCAAGCAGTCAGAAGTCAGAACATGAATTTAACGGAAAACGGATAAATTGGATATTTTAGTTAGAAAAGTTAACTGTTCGTTTTCTGGGTTTATGCTGCAGTACCTGTCCGCCCGACACTGTCTGCGCTTTCATACCCGATCCAGAGGCAACAGATACAACAGTCCGATAATAAGTGAAGATGGAGACTGCTCTGCTCAGTGGCCAGAGCAGCGGTGGTCGCACCGGTTCCGGCCTTCTCCGGCTCTTGCGGCGAGGCGCTTTCCGGAGTCGATCGGATGCAATCGTGTACGGATCCACTTACCAGAAGGCGGCTGCTTTGGTTGATCTTGTATGCCGCATTTCATTTTCTTCCATATATTTCTTCTTATACTGCTACTACGTTCTTTTAAACTCCTCTGGCTTAACCAAAATCGTGACAATAGTGAACTAATAAACCAGGTTCTTATGCGGTATTCGTTTGCAGGCTGAAGATGGTGTCGGCATACCTGAGGAAGTCCTTGACCAATCAAGCTTTGCAAGTGCAGCCAAGTTATACTTCATTTTCACACGATTTGATTTTCTGTGGTCCCTAAATTGTTTTGCTTTGATCATTCTAAATTTTTTAGAGGTTTGTTTAGCTTCTCATAACTGGCTCTTCATCATCTGGTTTTTAGTAACTTTTTGTATGATGTCATTAAAGACTTTAATTTGAAGTGTATTCTGCTTATTGACCCAACATCTTCTACTAACCAATATATATATATATATATATATATATATATATATATATATATATATATATATATATATATATATATATATCAGAAACCACTATGGTGCTCCAAACAGTCTGCCTATACCTGCAGTGACAGAGAGTACTACTTTCTTGGGCAGCTCCCATACTTGACTGAAGCTGAGTCCCTCATATTCGAGGTCAGATCCAAATACAGTTTCTTTTCTATTTTGGCTTTTAGGCAATTTTAATTTTAGTCGATATCATTTTCGTGTGAACTGATAGAGTTAATTAGTTTTAGTGGTAGTCTGGTAGAGCAGTTGTAGTTTGGAATAAGGCGCGGATAGTGATAATGAAGTACAGCTAAAGGGTATTCCAGGTTGTGGAGTAATTGTGCAATCTTACTACTTGGATAGTACCCCTGTGATCCAAGTAACATTTCCCAAGTGTAAAAGTACTTCCATTTGTTTCTTTAGTGCCGATGGTGCTTTTTCTTGACTGGATATTGGTAGCCATTGGAACTTATGTAGAAGAAAAATGATCTCCATTGACAATGATTTTTTCTCTTTTTCTTTTTTGAAATATTGTGCAGGGTGTTACTCTAGTGATTCTCATGGCTCATGTTTTATTTCCAATATCATATGAAGGTTTTCAGATATACTGGAAAAGTATCCTCAATAGGTTGAAGGTAGGTGATTCTTTGCTCAAATATGGAGAAATAAAACTCCAACCTCATAAATAACATTTCTCTATGACTTTGTAACAAGATGCAAAGCTGAAAATCAGGAACTGTAAATACTACTAGTAATAAAGCCGGGGGTTAAAATATTTCAACTATAACAACCTAAATATCAAGTGCATTGAAATTTCAAGATCGGGGTAGCATGAAGCTCCAGTAAATGTAATAGTTTGTCGACTAACTCATTTTCCTCTAACCTTTCAGGTCCTGTTGCTATTAATTTTGGTTGCAGATCTGGTGGTATATGTTATTTCTTTAGCTGGCTTGTACTATCTTCCATTCAGGATTGCACCCTATGTGCGGGTTGTGTTTTTCATTCTCAATATCAGGTATGGTCATTAAAATACTTGATATTTTCAATTCATTCATACCATAAGAATTGGTGCTGGTACAACTCTCTTTGACTTGGACGTTAGTACACATTCAAAAACAATACATAGTCTTATTTAGGAACATCACGTTTGTCTAATCATACAACTTCTATCCATGAACATAACATTTTGAGGATCTTCAGTGAGACTTCAGCATATTTTTTAGCTTTCCATTGCACTCTTACCCATTTTGGTTTCTTAAACTTAAGTCATTCTTTCATTCTTGCTTTACAATTTACAAATGCAACTGCACATATTATAGGAATGACCCAGCAGTAATGGACCAATGGTTAATACTAAAGATCTCCCTTACAGCATAGTAGATGCATAAGTGGAGAAAGAGAAGTCCACAATAGCAAGCACAAAAGGGAACATTGTTATAAAGCCAGTAAAGAGAAATCTGAGCATTAAAAATCAAAATAAAACAACAATCGCAGAGGAAACAATAACAATAAAAATAAAGATGAAAGATTGATGTGAGATTCTAAGAGTATTTCATGGTCCTGAAAAAATCTAAAGAGCCATCCAAGTGAAAACATCTAAATTGTTAAAAGAAATGTACCATTTGAAGCTGAAATAAAACATAAAGTACAAGTGGAAATATTGATTTGTATCCACAAATAAAAATTTGATTATGACTTAACCCTTCGCACAAAATTGTGATCTGATTCTTTTGCTGATATTAGGGAATTGGGAGACAGCATTTTGATCCTTGCTGGAATGTTTGGTACTTACCTTAATGTTATGGTTAGTTTGTATCTCTATCCCTGCAGCTACTGATTTTGATAGTCTATTTCAAAACTAGATTACTATCATAGCATCGATTGTTTTTGGCACTCAATACAATTTAATTTTGGGTCGTCCATATATACTTTACGCGTTGCTCTCTATTCTGTACTTCGCAGGTTTTGTCAATGTTATTTCTTTTGTTCTGTAGCTGGCTAGGATATGTCATCTTTGAGGACACACAACAGGGAAAAACTGTATTTACTTCATATGGTGCAACCTTGTACCAGATGTTTATTTTGTTTACTACATCTAACAATCCAGATGTCTGGATACCTGCATACAAGTAAGTTGCATTACCACATCTAGAACCTTGAACCAAGTCACCAAATGCTTGTTTAATCTACCATTTGTAACTATGTAGGGGTCTAAGTTCCACACAAATTAAGGGGCTATAGAAAAATAATATGAAAGGACCTTTTTTTGCCATTGGTATTATTCATTATGGAAGTCAAGTGTGTTAGGAGAAGAAAATTTGAAATGAATCTTCTTTTTTCTTTATGCCCCCCTCATAGCAACATTTCTAATTATTTCCAGGCATAGATTATTCCTTCCATGTTGAAAGTTTTATGCTGTTTTATGTGTGATAGGGAATCACGATGGTACTGCTTGTTTTTTGTTCTATATGTGCTATTGGGTGTTTACTTCGTCACCAATTTGATTCTCGCTGTTGTATATGATAGCTTCAAAAGTGAGGTATTAACTTGACCTCTTGTGCTGCAAATAGACATGCTCAGTTGCTCACTGCTCTTCGTATATTGGCTGACTAAATTCCATCATTTGTAACTTCTAACTTTTATTTCAACTCTACATCTTTTAATCGGAAATTCAAGTCACTTTGAGTTGAAATAAATTTGAGACTCTAGGCACATGCTTGTTTTTTTAAGTGCATGTTGGTCATGGTTAGTTGATCTATTATTTATAAATTTACATTTTCATAGTTGGCCAAACGAGTGGCTGAAAAGGATCGGGTGAGGCTAAGGATATTGAGGAAAGCATTTAGTTTGGTTGATTATCATGTAAGTAAAATGCTCATTTAAATCCGAACGCAGTTTCCCACAGTTGTTATTTTTGTTAATAGTAGTTCTCCCAGTACCAAACTGCTAATTTCTAGACACAATGATACAGTTGTCTTATATTTAATGATTGAAGATTAGATATCCACGAACCCTCTTTCTGGGAATTAAAATAAAAACAATCTAACAGTCAGTCTCCAATACATTTCATATGACTTTCTCAACGTATATGTTTAGTGACCATTGATAAATGTTGTGCCTTATGATTCTTTAATATGTTTTTCGGGCAACCTCTGATGAGGATACACACTTTTATCGGTTTTTGATAATTAACAGAACTGTGGGTTTCTGAACAAAGAACAGTGCATCCATTTGTTCGAGGAACTTAACAAGTACAGGTATACCACTTACGCACATTTTCAAACACTAGTTGAAGCATTCATTCATGCTCTCTAGAGGATTTCTGTAGAGATGGTCAGATGGAGTTGTAGCTGTATCATTCCATGCATCAGTGTGAATGTATGTTCTTGGAGGAGAAAGCATTGACAAGAGTGATAAGAGTTGGAAGCTAGTCAATGTGGATAACTTTTAGTTGTTTTAATTTTTTATTCTAGAGTGTATCCTGGTTCCTTAGGGTTGAGATATTCCATCTCATTTTTTGTTAAATAATGTGGTCTAATATTCTAAAATCTATGTTTTTGCTTATAACGGACTAAATCTTACAGTGCTTTTGAATGTTTTAGGTCTCTGCCGAAAATATCAAGAGATGATTTTGAGCTAATATTCGATGAATTGGACGACACTCGTGACTTTAAGGTCCTGTCAATTTTGAGCTAATATATTCTGCTTTTTTCAATGATTTGGGGAAACTGATCATGATTCATGAGATTCTATTCTATTTACTCTTCCAATTTTTCGCCTCTTATAGATGTTAATTTATTGATTAGGTTACCTACATGCCCTTTATTCATACATTTCGGTGAATATGCTTTTCTCTGCCTTTTGTTGTATGAGTGTATCTTTTCTATAAATAGTTAAACTTTTAGAATGAATTGGCGTCAATTGCGGCTATGCATTAGCATTAAACTTTTTAGCTGGGTTATGTATAAAGTGGTGGCAGTAAGTCTGGGCAATAACATTATTTGTCACATTCTCCTTTTATATGCATTAACAAGTTTATTTTCCTATTCTCTGTTGTAGATCTTCCTTTGCGACCTCTAGTGAGGTTAACGTTCTTATTTATTTCATATGAAAATGACATATTGAAGCACTTCTTGGCATGAAATTCTGAAAGATGATATTGTTATCAATCATGTTTGAATGTTACAGTTAATCCTTCTCTCTGCAGATTGATTTGGAAGAATTTTTTGATCTTTGTAAAGCAATATCTCTTAGATTTCAGAAGGAGGATTCAGTGAGTCAGACTTTCTTCTTTAAGTGGTGTTACGGTTATGCTATTGGAAGCATTTTTATGTTGATAAAGTAGTGTTTACCTTCATCATTCACGTCATACTGTGAAATTGCAGTTGCCAATATTTGAAACATTTCCAAATGTCTACCATTCAACAACATCTGAGAAGTTGCGTAACTTTGTCCGAAGCCCCAAGTTTGGGTACATTATAGTGTTCATTCTCATCGTCAATCTTGTGGCTGTGGTAATCGAGACTATGGTATGTGTAACCTGCATATTTACTTTTAAATTAGAACATTTGACGCATAAAGTGTGTTTTGTTAAATTTCATAATTTGCCCTAAACATTTCAGCTCGATATAGAAGACAGTTCTTCTCAAACCTTTTGGCAGAAGGTAGAATTCATCTTTGGTAAGTTTTTGTTACTCATGACTTAGCACTTTAGAGCAAAGTACCTTGGTTAGTGTTAAACTCTCTTGCTATTAATGCCTTGCAATCTATTTACTGTTAACTCTTGTGCTCTGTGCTTTTCCAATTATACATGCTTTTCCAATTATGGGTTAGGATGTTTTTACTTGGACTGTTTTCAGTCCCAGACCAGACTTGGATAATTATAAAAATACACAAGGACTAGACATTACCAGACCAGTTCAGATCAAACCAGACCAGCAAATTTCAGTCCAAGTAAAAACATCCTTACTGGTACCATAATTTGGATGATAGTTGATTTTCTAGTCTTAGATTAAAACTTATGGGGCTGTGTTTAAGGTGAAGGGCATGCTCTTACCCAAATGATTTTGTATTGGTATTGAATGAATGAGAATCATATGTTTTCTTGCCCTTCTTTGCTTACATGACTTGTAACACTTGAATTCTAGCATTCAAGTCACAGTTCTTTTTCTGCACTTATCAAATGCCACCTTATAATAGTCGCATACTCCTAGATTGTATAGACATTCCAATGTATTTTGAAGGCCAAATCACGTATTACAATTTTTTTAATAGGCTGGCTTTATGTGATTGAGATGACATTGAAAGTCTACACATATGGTTTTGAGAACTATTGGAGGGATGGTCAAAATCGCTTTGATTTTATTGTCACTTGGATTATAGGTGAGTTCAATGAACGTTTATATTATATATGTACATGAGTCAGATATGACTAACTTTTCTTCCCAGCCCCTTAAATTTGTAGATGCTGATCATTAGCAATTTCTTTCTGGAGATCTGCTATTTCTATTTAATTCATTTTTTAAGAATCTCATTTCTTATAGAAATTATTAGATGATTTCTATCTTTATATGGTGTCAGGCTGTCAGCGACAATCACAATTAACTAATTTCATACTTATCCTCAAAGTTGCTGGTTGTAACTTATTATGTACACGGGTGTAAATTGTAAATATTGCAGTTATTGGAGAAACTATCACATTTGCAGCTCCTGATGGTCAAACTTTTCTATCTAACGGGGAATGGTAAAGATATTATAACTACTCCCTTCATTCAGCACAAAGTTTTAGAGTAGTGGTGGTGGCCAGGTGGGTATCTTTTTAGAGTTTCCTACTGATAGAGAGAAACCTTAGGAAAGAATGAAACAGAAGGAAAAGGGGAAAATATTATTTTAAAAGGTGGACCGTTTTCAAAGTAGGAAATCAAACACAAAATTAGGACAACTCAAAAGTGAAAGTAGAAACACCTATATGAAACAGTGGGATTTTTTTTGCTTGTAAATGAATTATACATAATCAGATAATCAATTCTCTATATTATTTTATTTTATTTTATTTTATTTTAGGCACCAATCTGAATTTTCCAAAAAATGAGAACTCTGCTCTTTAACAAGTGACTGTTGAAAATCTTGTTTTTCAACCATAAAAAACTTAGGTTCCTGTCATTAGCTCCAATATACTTCTCATGCATGCTACTTTATTGCCCATGGATCCACCAGCCCACCACTAAAAAATAAGCTTTGAGTTAACGCTTTGGCATCTGATTAACATATTGATTGCATTGTGTGTGCACGGCTGGTGTATGTGTGTGTTCCTCAAACTATGTAACACATTAATTACAGTGTTAAAAGATAAAGTTAAGTAATTCTTAATGCTTCCATCCCTTAAGTTTTTTTTAGGGTTTTCTTCTTCTGTTGGTAATGCAGCTTCCATCTTTTCCTGATAACAATGGTTCTACAGGATTAGGTATCTTCTTATTGCAAGAGTGTTACGCCTAATAAGGCTATCAATGCATGTCCGAAGTTATCGGGCCTTCGTTGCCACATTCTTTACTCTCATACCAAGTCTCATGCCATACTTGGGGACAATATTCTGTGTATTGTGCTTTTATTGCTCTCTTGGTGTACAGGTGCACTCAACTCTCTACCAATATTTCTTTTATCTATCTATTTTTCTTTTGGGAATAAGGCTTGGATGTTGTTGTTGTTGTTGTATCTATCTATTTTTCTTCCCTAAGTAATTGTGTATTTGTGTAGTAGAGGTTCTTTAGGGTCTATTTGTAGCAGGATAATAGCAAGCGAAAAGAATAAGGGAAAATAAAAGTTCAATAAAGCTATTTTATTTATTGATTTGTAATTACTACTGTATTATACATAGTATAAAGACTCATTTTATTTATTTATTAGTAATTACTACTTTATTATATAAAGACTCATTTTCCTTGCTAAAACCAGATATATGAGAAACATTTTCCTTGACACTTTTTCTTTCCGTAATATTTTCGAGGTTTCAAATATACCTTTAGTGGTGAACAATGTATTCAAATATAATGACCTTCAGTTCAAGTGTTTGTTCTATGATGTGCTTTTATACTCCCAATTTGCTCATGAGTATTTAAGTCCCATGCAGATTTTTGGTGGAATTGTCAATGCTGGAAACTCCAATTTAGATCAAACTGATCTTGCTGATAATGAGTATCCTTTCCAGAGGCATTCATTATTTACTCTGCATACAGAATTTCCTCACTTCATCAACTGGCAATAAATACTACTCCCTCCGTCCCGCTATGATTGTCCCATTTTACCTTTTCCGTCCGTCCCACTAAGATTGTCTCATACCTTATTTGGTAAAATTTATGTGGTTCTAAATCATTCTTACTTTATTCTTACTTTATCAATTCAATATCAACCACATAAATCCACTTTTATTAATAACCGTGTCACCTTCTTTTGTACCAAACTTAGGGAGACGGAGGTAGTACGTAGTACTCCGTAATATTGTAATTAGTCACATAACCAATCCTTCTCGTTTTATGTGCAACGCACGGTGTTCTTATTTGGAATGCAGCTGCTTGTTTTCCTGACACAAAAAAGCTATTTGCTTTTTAACTTCAATGACTATCCAAATGGAATGGTAACACTATTCAATTTGTTGGTGATGGGAAACTGGCAAGTATGGATGCAGGTATTATGATTTTCAGCAATCTTCCCTTCATTACAGCTAACCTGACGCTTGCAAAAAGTATTTTCTCCTAGTACTGTATCTAAGTCAATTATGTCCTCTAAACCTGTAATTTCTGTGCCAATGTTTATTAGATGAAATATTTTGTTTGTGAAAAAGCATGATGTATTGATGTGTATTGGTTTGATGAAAATATGTCGTGGATTAATACCTAAAACTAACTATGAAAACATTTTAGAGCTACAAGGAATTGACTGGGACTTCTTGGAGTTATGTCTACTTCATCAGTTTTTATGCTATCACAGTCTTATGGCTCCTGAATTTGGTGAGTAGTCTTATGCATAGTATTATGCTATCCCAAACTATCAAAAGCTTACTTATTCTTGCATTATTTTGAACTGCAGTAGAAATATTTTCGTATGCATGATAGTTGCCGAAATGTGCAGAGAAAGACGTCAGCACAATCCCATAAAAGTTTAAAAAACTTCTTAGATGGACGGTCTTGGTAATCTTCTGAGAGATTTGCTTATTTAGTTCTGCAACTTATACGTAATAAGTTTGCCACTACGTGGTACTGAAATGGAATTTTGGATGGGTTATGAGTAATCCTTAGTGTGGGCAATCTTATTAATTAGAGGATAAGGTTGGCAAGTAATAAAAGTTAATGTATTAATGACAACAGGCGCAGCTGCACAGGCATATGTTACCGGGCCAAGTTAGCTTAATTAAGTTAATTTGCATTAGCCACCTAAGTATAGATTGCATCTAGGCTGGCTGTGCACATGTATAATAACCATTGTGAGTTCACTACAAATCTAAGCTTAAATCTATGTCAATTGTTCCAGATTGTAGCATTTGTCTTGGAGGCTTTTCAAGCTGAGATGGATATGGAAACTTCTGCAATACTTGAGAATGGCGACAACAAGGTCAGCAGTTGACCAACTTAAGTTTCTTTTATGGTGTCAATCTACATTCTTTACATTTAGTATGCTTAACTGACATGGACTAGTAAAATCCAGGAAACAAGAGAGGAGAGGCGTCGCAATGTTGGGTATGTCTTGCTGATTATCTATATTGCATATTTAAGCATCATTGCATCAACACACACAGACAATTTGCATCAAGTATAATCTGAAATAAATCGTTATGTTATGTTATACAGCACAAAGACGAGGAGCCAGCGAGTTGATGCACTACTCCATCATATGCTGAGCCCTGAACTCACACAATGCTCCACACCTTGATTTTTCATTCTTCATCCCCAAGTTTTTACTTATCAGTCCACATTAAGCCTGAGGTTAGCACACATTCTTGAATTTCGATGTTAAGTGATTACTCCTATTCAATTTACTGCTACTGGTAATGAAAAGTTAAAAATCCTTCGCTTCAGTGGCATGTCTTTTCTCCTGTCATCATCCACTGGGAGTGTAGTTTATGGACTATGTGTGAGTGGTCTTTTTAGGATCTCTAAAATGCCACAGACTTTAATACTTTATTTCGACTTCTGTTCATACTTCCCTTCCCCCCTCGGTCTTATACAGGTTGATGCCTAATTGGTATTGCCAACAATGCAAAAAGCAATGAAAAATGCAGTTTGCACATTCATAATTAAGTAATGCTAAAATATATTCACCCACCATCCCAGAGTGATAGTCTTACATTTCTTTTATTGTCTCTCGAAAAGTACTGATTCTTTATCTTGGCTCACATTTTTTAAAAAAAGCACCTTAATTATTATTGATAAAAATAACAAGAACACTTGCAATGACTACAATGAGATGAGATGTAGAAACAAATGATCCAAATAGAAAACGCCAAATCGCTAATCCTTAGTGTGGATTATGAGTAAATTGACCGCCCTATTACGATTAAAAATAATAATCAAAAAATTGATCTTACAAGCCAATCTGTAGGAAATAAGTCATGCATACTGACCCACTTTTTTGTGTAAGATATCTATATTAAACTAACCTTTATGGGTAATTTAACCTTTTGTTAACAGGGGTCACTTTTTATACAAGGGTAATCGAGTAAAAAGCTTATTCCACTTTTTAAATTTGGGATTAAAAAGTGCAATGTAGAGTACTGAAATTAAAAATTCCTCATTTTTTCCAGCAAATACCACTTGAACAGCACCCTATAGAGACACACCTACTCCTTTCACGGTAAGGTAAAGTACCAATATCACTTATACGCCCAAAGCAGGAACGTTAAACAGAAAATAAGAGGCACCAACTTGGTAGCCTTCAACTGAGCAAGAAATGGAATTAATTTAAAAGTTGTGCATTGTTGCTTGAATGGAAATCCTATCTCCAACATATGAAATAAAGTAACATACACAAACGCAAGCATAGGATGAACAAGTACCATTACCCACGTTGGCCACGTATACATGCTTTCTAAAACACCTTTATAAACTCACCCTACATCAATCAGTCTGGAAGTACGAACTGCTCACAGTCCTTGGCACCATATCTTGTAAAAACAGAAACAAGAATATTCGTCATTCTAGTTACAGCTGACTTGAAGTTACACGAGCCACCATTTTCTGGCACATTATTGGCCACAATTCTCCCGTTAACAAAAGAACCAACCGGAACTCCCTCACTATAGGCTTTACATGCTGACAAGATATCATGAGCATGGATCTTAAAATGAATTGTTATGAGTTCTTCAAAATGCTGGGAGAAAACATCATGGAAATATAGTTAGAAGTATAGACCATAGACAGAGTTCAGTTACATTCTCAATGAGGCTTTCACCTTGTTCAGAGAGAACAACAAACAGTTATGTTAGATTAGAGTCTCACGTTGAAATTTTAATGTCAGAAATATGGTTTTACACTACTATAAATTTGAGATTAATTAGCAAATCAATTTGTTCATGTGTTTAGCCCGAGTTATCACATATTTGCCCAATTGAGTGGCTCCCAACATAGTTCCCAATTCTTTTAAATTCAAACAAGTGAAGAGGCAGATACAATATCTAGTGAAGAAAATTTCGTAGAGGCAGAAACAACACTTAGTGAAGAGCATTTTACCGTTGGCGGGTGTTTAACTTCACATATCATTCTTTGCAAGGACATCAAGAAAACACGTCCATTGTAAGCTTTGGATTCCCTCTCCCCCACGTCACCAACATAAGTAGTAAATCCGTACCCAGGCTCGTTGAAGCAGGGGTGGAGACAGGGAGGGGCTGGAGGGGGCCACGACCCCTGCAAGAAAAAAAATTCTTAAGTATATATTATGTATAAATACTTTTAATCTGTAAAAAGTATGTTGATATTTTACACTTTGACCTCTGCAATGTAAAATTGTTAAGGACCGGCCCCTTTAACCCTAAATGTCTGGCTCCGCCACTGCGTTGAAGAATGGGTTTGCATTCAAAACTAATCCCTGTATAGAGACCAATACTTGCAGCATGGTTGATTTATTTGGCTGCCAGTTCTCACTACTGTCACCAGTCCACGTGTTGAGAAGACTGAGGCAGACTTTACCGCAGGCGTAAAGGTTAGGATTCATACTCAATCCAGCAGTTTGAAAGTGAACCATCTTGAAACACAGTAGATATTTAAACATGTTTTTTAGCATCATCAATAAAATAAAAATAAAAGGCATGAACATACATGATCATTGAAATACATACCGGTGGGGTATCTGGGTATGTGGGAGGGAAAATGGCATCAAAGACAAAAATACCATCATGATAAGGAGTGCCTTGAGGTCCAACAATGATTGCCCTTAGCAGATCCATCCTTGTTTCACATACTCTGACATATATTTCACCTGTAATTGACAATTCAATGTTTCAATGCGCAGCATTGTCTATTTATCTCTCTCTTCCATGAAATGATCGACTCACCAGGTAAATGGCTATCCAAAACCTTCCACTCATGCTGAACATTCTTTGACCAGGCCTTAGGCAGCTTTTGATAGAAACATCGGAAATGATGAAAATGATTACATGACTGATCATACTAAGGTCACATTTGCTTACATTAATTGGCTTATTTTGGTTATCAGCAAAATATCAAAATAACTTAATTGCCAGTGGGAAGAGGGTGTCACAAGGGAGAGGTCCTGAGTTCAATTCCAGGCAAAGACTTAGACTAGAACTACACTCTCTCTCTACTAATACTCCCTCCGTTCTTTTTTTAAATGCAACACTGGACTTTTTCCATTATTCATGTATCCTACTTTGACTCTATTTTATCTATTAATGTATTAAAAATTAAATTTTAAAAAAATACGGTTAAATTTCTCACATTTTAAATTTTCATAATCTAATTTTTTTAATTTTTTTACTAATAAGGAATGAAAGATATTAATGGTCAAACTTGTGCGTTGGCGAACATGAAAAGTGGACGGTTGCATTTAAAAAAGAACGGAGGAAGTATGTAATTAGAGCTCAATTTGCATCCTCTCAGATAAATGTTTGGCGGGTCTTGGGTGGACCTAAGGGATGGGGTGTCATCCTTTGTTTAAATTACTTAGTTGGCTAAAATCAATTATACCAAACATCTTTTAGGAAATTGCACACTTTTGGTCATTTGAGTCACTTCAAGTGTTCAACTGAGTAACCCTCACCAAACGGGCCTTAATGTTTAGTACTAACTAGAAAAACCATTTTAACTTTTAGGGATAAGGGTCAGTTTGGTCCTCGAAGTTGCAAAAAAGGGGTCAAATAAGTCCTTATATAGAAAATTTTGTCCGGACGTGCGATTTGAGGTGGCTCCCGGTAGAATTTTTTGATGAAATTTTTTTAGCATCGTATTCATTAAGTCTAGTTTACTCATACCAAATTTCAAATAAAAATTCAATCGGGAAGACATTCAAATGAATTCTTGAAGATAACTGTGCCGTTAAAAGCGCAGTTATCTTCAAGAATTCATTTGAATGTCTCCCCGATTGAATTGTTAGCTGAAATTTGGTATGAGTAAACTAGACTTAATGATTAAGATGCTCAAAAAATTTCATCAAAAAATTCTATCGGGAGCCACCTCAAATGGCACGTCCGGACAGAATCTTCTATATAAGGACTTATTTGACCCTTTTTTGCAACTTCGAGGACCAAACTGACCCTTTACTCTTAACTTTTAAGGACAAAATATGGTTAAGAAAACTATTACCTGTTGACCCTGGAAGTCCATATCTATGTAGTGGTGGTCTAGAAAATTATCAACAGTGTCAAAATGTCTAAAACTTTGATGTTTTCTTATGATATCACCTCCTCCGCCATTTTCTTCCTTGCCATTCCCAGAAGAATTCTGACTTATAGAACTACTTGAGCCAGTAGAAGACTCGGGTAATAAGTTGTTCGCTATATCTATGCCTAGAGGCAAGAAACCACCACCATGGCATGAGTGGTCTGAATTGGAAGCTTTACTATTGCCCATACGCGGACCCCTAATATCCTCCTGGTTGATAAGCAAAAATAAATACAAGTGAGCGATATATAGGGTCCGATTCCAACTGAGATATGAAATGATGCTACATGGTGCACATTCCAACTGAGATATGAAATGATGCTACATGGTGCACATTTTTCATGCCGTGACAAAAAAAAGTTGTATTTATTGTGTGGTTGTTCACATTTACACAAATCTCAAATGTAAGACACAATATTCATTCTCAAATGTATATAAATATTTTACTATTTTAGTGAACAAACACAAAGAGCAGGAACACGGCCGTCGAATTTGGAGGGCCCCATTCCGAATGGTGAATTGATGCCTCCTAAAACAAGAAAAATAGAAATTTTTACAATAAAATACAAGTAGACTAGACAGTACAAAAATTAAAGAATTTAAAAGTTATTTCTTTTGGAATCTTGAATAATACATAACATCTAGAAAAATCAATCTATAAAACTATAACTAATACTACATTCTAAATTTTTGGAGACCCTTACAAGAATGGGTCCGGTGCCAAACACATATTGCACCTCCTAAAATAAAACTATAACTAATACTACATTCTAAATTTTTGGAGACCCTTAGGCTGTCCGCAAGCCACATGGTGAAAAGCCAATTTTAATCCTTTCACCCTAATAAATGCTGCAACCCATGTATTTGTTGGTGCCAAAGCTCGATGGATAGCACTGACCGAGTGGGTATTACGCTCCTTGCTGCAGCAGTACACTCGCTCATGGCATTTCAGTTGGCAAGGAAATTTGGAAACCCCAAACATCTTAAGTGCATTATAACTTTTGTATTTGTATCTCAAATTTTATAAAAAGTATATCAAAATTCATAATTTTTTAAGACCTTTTATATGACACCAATATCATATATATAAAGTTTAAAAATAAAAGTATGAAATTTCATTGGTGGGAGATTTTTGTGTTTATTTTTTTTAAGTAGATCCAAGTGCTAAAATTAAGGTGTCGTGATAAAAATATTTTTTTTTTACTATATTTCAATTGTTTTTTCAAAAAATTGGTATAATTTAATAATAAAAAAGTTAAACTCTGAATTTATTTATTTTTACATCGGAACGTTCGTCTTTCAATATCATAATTATTCACAAAAAAAAGATTACCAAAAAGTTAAAGTATAATAAAAAAGGAAGGCTTTAATTAAAGAAAAACTTTGATGACTGAATATATTGACAGTGCAGGATTGCAGTAAAAATTGAATTGACGGATTGAATACGTATAAATTGGTTGGAAATTTAATTTATTGACGGAAACGGGTTGCGGTTAGCCTTACAAGAGTGGATCCGGTGGATCCGGTGCCAAACACGTATTGCACCTCCTAAAAGACGGCTCCAAGCAAGAAACCAAAAACAATTCCAAATCTCCTTGTAAAGGAAATAATTGACAAAATGTAACTTCATCCAAAACTGACGATGCCCAAAACATTCAATTTTTTGTACAAGAAGTTGACACCTGGTTTTGTTTAAACTTGTCGCCCGCCGTAGCAATGGGTATTTGCGGAGTAGAGCCTTCCATTTCCGCCTCCAGCAGTTTCAGAGAAATCGATTTGGTGGAGGAGAAAGCCCTCAGTCTGCCGCCAGAAAAACAACAATAATAAGAAACTGAATGAAGGGGGAGAGATAAGCGCCCGGTTGGCGCCATAAGCTAGCAATAATATTCATCTGTCTTTCATCGGATGGTGGGACCAGTACTGTACTGGTAAGCAGTTGATATGGCAAAAAAAAGGATGACACCCCATCCCTGAGGGCCCTTAACACCGATCGGACGGCACGATGGGAGGATGTAAATTGGACTATAATCACAATGTGACAGATAGAGAGTGGGGCTCTGTCCCCGGTACTTACAGAGGCCCTATGCATTTTTCAGCATAGTAACCCCTCATCGTAGTTGCCGGGATTCGAACCCGAGACCTAACCCTTGTGGCACTCCCTCGCTACCAGTTGAGCTACGCCCACCGGTGTAAGCAGTTATATCGCGAATCGTATATTATGCCTCTCATTTTAGGAAGAAGAAGACAAGATTCTGTACCCCAGGCTAAGGCACGGTGGTTTGGGCATCTAGCGAAAACTCGACACGCATATACAAAACACATTCGAGAAATGACAGTAGTGGGATCTTTCATCAGGCCATGCCTCGTGCCTGCTTTGCTCGCCACCTCCTCCCATTTTAGAATTTGTACATGTCAAATGATTTTTTAAATGTGAGTGCCTTGTGCCTACCTAGCTCATAAATAAATCAGCCCTTTTCTCCTCAACATATTACAAAACTGAGGATAAAAACAAAAATGTCATCTCTTTTTATATTTTCACTTAATAAATTACATCGTACAGCCGGCTAATTACATCCTACAGTCGGCTGTACTGTGCGCACGGTACAGCCGGCCTTTTAGTTCGCAAATCGCAGGTCGCTGGGCTTCCATCGCATTTTGCAGGCTCCCATCGCAATTCGCAGATCGTTCTCATTCTTCGCTCACTGCCTACACAGATGACGATTCTCAACAGCCGCAACCTCCAGTACGAGTGCAGCACTAGCTTGAGCGGTGGCTCCTGCGGCGGCTCCTCCTGGTGTATAACCCTAGTTGCTTCTTCTCCCTCTTTCTTTCTTAGACTCTTCATTTTTCTCTTTTTCTTACCCAAGTTTGATGAGAGAGTTTGGTTACTTGTTGGCCGCAGGTTAGAGAAATCTAAGTTATACGTAATTCTTCAGATATGAGCATAACAAATGAAATTATGAGCATAGTAGACATTTCAAATGAGTTTTTTGAATGCTCATTTCATAATTTATTTATGTATACTCATTTGATATTAGTGCAATACTCATTTTAAAATGTCATATTCATGCATATTTCAAAATGTGTTTTATGTTAAACTCAAATGAGTATAACGTCCAAAGTGAATGAGCACACGTGAATGAGTTTTTTACTCCCTCTGTCCCGCTTTAAGGTTCTCACACGATTTATGATATTTGACTGATCATAAAGTTAACTGATCACTGTCATTAATAGAATTATTTTTAGTAAATAAAATTTACATATTCAGAAACTACATTAAAACCGCTACAAAACCTGCAAAAAATAATTTGAATTTCATAAACTTTTGATATATAAAGTAAAAGATTAAGAACAATGCACGTTGACCGGAGAATAGTGTACGGGAACCCTTAAATTGGACGGATGGAGTAATATTTTGATACTCATTTTATAAGTTATGTATGCTCATTTCGTACTGTTTTATGCTCATTTTAAAAGGTTGCACATGTTAAACATATTTTAATTCATTAGATTCACATATTGAAAATAAATGAAATTGATTATAGACATAATTTAAGACTTTAATAAACGAAAGAATAATAAACGGAATGTGATATATGAGGAATGAATCACATATCACTAATGTTCACCGTTATGCTCGTAATACTCAAAAGAATAGGCTCGATGCTCATCAAAATTGATTCAATGCTCATTTACGAGAATCCGTGATTTTCACCAAAATTACAAGTTTGCCACCGGTTGTATGGCTGGCAACGTACAGCCGGCTGTACTATATACGCTTTCACCAACTTCACAATTATTCCCTGTAGTCATAAAGTGATTCCGGTCAAAGTGACTTTGACAACAATGGCTTCGGTCACAATGGCTCCAGCAAGGCAGCAACAATGATTGCCCGCCCAACTCCACCACCACCGTCCATGCTGGAAATGAAAATAATGAAAATGAAATAATTAGGCTCTTTAGAGCCCGTTTGGTAACACTGAAATTGGATGAATTGGCTGATTCTGCTGATTTATGAAAATATTATATTTGGATATTTGTTATTAATAAATAAAAGTAAAAAATTATATTGAAAAATAGCTAAAATGACCCTTTTTAGTAACTTCAGTCAATACAACAAAAAATGTAACTACAACCTTACTTTTTCTTATTACGGAGTATTACACAATCAAAAGTTACATTTTTGGTGAAAAGGCTGACTAATAAGTCGAAAAAAGACCCCCAAACGGGCTCTTAATATGTTTGGATTTATTGATTTTAGAAGAAAATTTATACGTAGTACTTTACCAGGCTATATAAGTATGATGAATTTAAGAAAAATTATACTCCCTCTGTCCCGGAAACAAGTTCTCAGGTTGACTTTCATACATTTTTAAGAAATAAAGTTACTGAGGGATCAATTTTATTGTTTTGTCGACACTATTTGTCACTGTTTGGCACTGTTTTGCACTGTTTGACACTATTTTGATGTAGGATAACTTTCCATTTAGGAAAATGGGAAGTTTATTTTGGGACATCCAAATAAGGAAAGTGAGAACTTTTCTCCGGAACGGAGGTAGTAGATATTAGTGGGTGATTGGCAGGAAAGATGAGGGATCGAGTGATGGATGGGAAATATGTTCACCCGCATCTGAATTGACTCATAGCCCTTTTTTTTAAATGGAAAAGAAACAAATAGGCAAAAAAGAGTGGAGTAGAACCTATGTTGCACCGATACTTCACCTTGATGTCGTATCCGCGTATCCGATACGTATCTGTATCTGATACTCACCGATACGCGTCCTGTACGTATTGGATCCGTATCCGTAATTTAATAAAAGCATCGGGCTTAATTTTAAAAATATCGATACTTCTGATACCCGTATCCATGAACCGATACGTGTATCCGAACCTATAACCCCTCATTTGATACAGTATAACCGATACGTGATCCGGAACGTAATTTTATTCACCCTCAGCAGTAAAACTCCTCTTCTTTCTCTGCCTGCTTCCAAGAGCTTTCAAGAACAGATTTTGGCGAACCACAGGTGTGGGCCCTAACAAACTTCGGGTAGACAACTGAACCAGCCATCCCAATGGGTGTGGATCAATTGTTATTCCTATCCTAGATTAATTAGCTAGTTTTCTTAGCTTGCAATTGATCTATCTACTGTTGATCTATCTACTGACCAAGGGGTAGGGGAATGAAGGTTGGGCTCCAATCACACCTTTGATTTCCCTCCAACTTAACTTTCCATTCAGGAGAATGGTACTGAACTATGATTAT